GTGGTAGAGCGCTAGCCTTGAGCTGAAGAGCTGAGGGATGGCGCCCAGGCCCAGAGTTCAGGCCCCACGACTGGACCCAAACACAAAAAATAAAAACCCTGCTGAGCACTGATGGCTCATACATGTAATCCTAGATTCTCAGAACTCTAGACCCAAGGATTGTAGTTTGAAGCCAGCTGGGCAAAAAAGTCCATGAGATTCCTTTTCTGTTTGTGAACACACACACAGGGAATGGGAGGCGAGGGTCGGGGGGTGGGGTGGGGATGTAGATTCTGGTGCTTACACTCGGCGTGGGACTGTCCCTTTCTTGCTCTTGCTTTTTTTCTTTCTTTTTCTGGTCGGTCATGGGGCTTGAACTCTGGGCTTGGGTGCTGTCCCTGCACTCTTCAGCTCAAGGCTAGTGCTCTACCATTTGAGCCACAGTGCCATTTCCAGTTTTCTGGGGGTTAATTGGAGATAAGAGTCTCACAGAGTTTCCTGCCGGGGCTGGCTTTGAACCACGATCCTCAGATCTCAGCCTCCTGAATAGCTAGGATTACAGATGTGAGCCACTGACACCTGGCTCACCTACCCCTTTTTGTAGGTTAACTGGAATTAAGAGTCTCATGGACTTTCCTGCCCAGGCTGGCTTCAAATCAAGATCCTCAGATCTCAGTACTCCTGAGTAGCTGGGATTACAAGTTTGAGCCACAGACACCCTTTGAGGCACAAGCACCCAGCTCCAGGAAACACATCTCCAATTAGCCAAGAAGCTGTAAGTGGAGGTGTGGTTCAATAGAGTACCCTCCTTGAGGAAAAAGCAAAGGGACAGCATTTAGGCCCTGAGTTCAAGCCCCAGTACCAGCACCAAAAAAAAAAATGAAGCATATTATTTTATTAAATTTCAATATGCCAGGGATAAAGAGACACTACCAAACAACAGCAAATGGTTCCACAGTATGCTCTGTGCCAGGCACTGAGTGCTTTAGATGTATTAACTCAAAATTCCAACAACCTCGTTTTGCAAATGAAGTTAAGGTGCTGGAAGATTATTCTTAATATGTCCAGAAAAGAAAAACAATGTGGCTGGGAATGTGGCTTAGTGGTAGAGTGCTTGCCTAGCATGCATGAAACCCTGGCTTCGATTCCTCAGTATCACATACAGGGAAAAAGCTGGAAGTGGCCCTGTGAGTCAAGTGGTAGAGTGCTAGCCTTGAGCAATAGAAGCTCGGGGACAGTGCCCAGACCCTGAGTTCAAGCCTCAGGACTGGCAAAAGAAGAAAAAGAAAAGAAAAACATTGTGTGCTAACTCATACAGAAAGTCTTAACTCCAGAGCTCATGCTTCTAATTGCCATGATTTAAAGGTTTATGATTAAGGATGTTGTCTTACTTACCATGAAGAATGGGAGCTAAAGGACAGTGCTTTCACAATTCCGACGGTAAGTGATTTTTCTAATGTGAAATTCTATTATTTTCCAGGCCTGGCATACACACCCCCAAAAAATCAGCAACAATAATCCTGGGGAAGTTCTTGAAGGGTGGGCGTTGAGGTACCTAAAATTTCCAATTCCAGATCCACAGAGTAGTACCAGGATCCTGAAGTTTATTTATTTTTTGGGGAGGATCCAGTCGTGGGGCCTGATCTCTGGGCCTGGGCACTGTCCCTCAGCTCTTCAGCTCAAGGCTAGCGCTCTACCACTTGAGCCACAGCGCCACTTCC